CTTTCAGGCCTCTGATGACAGTGTTGGGCCCGCAAGGCGAAATAAAGTGCTTCCATAAAAGCCTGTGACTGCATAATAACATCAAGAGTTGAGTCTATTTTAACTAATGTTTTATTTAAAGTTAGTGATTGCTGAACCATTCTAAAAAGCTTGAAATCCTCCGCAATCTATGGAGTTGCAGAATTAGGAAGAATAGCCAAAGTTTGTGTTGCATTTGTGTAATTAAAGCTCCAACTAGAACAGTAAACACAGAAATCTTTTCTTGGCATTATTTACATCATCAAAAGACTTGGTCATGTAATGCCTGAACATTTTTCTTTTTCAGTATTCTTGAGCAGAGAGTAATTGAGGCCTACTGTTCGCTTGGATCAGAGGACTGCATTAACAAATACAAGAAACTATTTGATGAAGAAGTTGTTGCGAAGTGTCAGGGCACGAACGCAAAAGCAAGTCAATGTGTTACGTATGCGCTTCTTAACAAAGCATCGAGATTTTCTTCTTTCTACCACACCTGTGTTTTTTAGCCTTGCTGCACCTCTTCGCGCCAAAACATACTGCTATGGGGTCAGCGAAGGAGGCAAAGCCGCTTATACTAAGGTATCTTCTAAAAACCGTTCGTCATACTCTTGTGATTTGGCAAAATTCGTCTTATTCAGAAAAAAGCAAGGCATTCCATCCAAAGATTATGCTCGCCTAGTATTTGCATCGCAAAAAAAACTCTTATCGGAAAATTACTTGTTCAGCCCATGTTTTACGCTTGAAACAACATTAGGTATACAGTGGAATTTGAGCGCAAGGTACATCCAAAGTTCTTTTATGCCTTTCCAACTCTAAGACGGGAATTACGGTATACATCCATAAACAATCGACATGTTGTATTGTCTTCGCTGTTTTCTATAACTGTGTGTATTTTTCAAGATTTAGCACTACGTTGAAAGAGTCGAGAAATTGAGTTTTAGATGTAGTTTACTGAAATTTAGCTTATCTAATTGTTGGTGGACGCATACGGGATTTCTAAGACTCACGTCTAAAGAAGCGCAATTAGAACAAATAGGATTAGAATTATAGACGGACAGATAATGATTTCTACGGTAGTTTGTGATACATTTCTGAAAATGACTTGATGCAGCATTGTTTACTATTTTAGCTCAAAAATCTCTATATGGCAGAGAATGTGGCAATGGAGAAAGATAATCTACGTCGCGCCTTGGGATGTCACAAGGATATCACTGCTTTGAAAGAGCACGTTGTTTAGAGCATTTCTCATGCGTCATATACTAAAACCAATGTTTCTAGGTTGATGCTGACAGCAATCGATCGAAATTCATCATTTGTACGTCTTCAGGACGTCAAAGACGTTTTC